ACTAATGAAATTTTCTCCTTTGCCAGGGAGTTCTACTACATTCAAATGGAGAAGTACGCTCGTGTGGCAATATCTGAGGGCGTCCGAACCGCCAGTGAGATAACTGTTACTACCGGATCCGAACTCTACCGTGCTCTGGCTCTTCATTACAATCGAAACCAACAAATTGAGGTGCGGATCTTTCTTCGCATTACTCCTACACATATATATATATATATATATATGCAATTGCTTTAACAGTACCCGTAAGAGCTAGTGCTGCATTCATTTCCCCGCTGCTACCTGCTTGTCGACAGAATTTGTGGACAACTTTCCGGTTTACTTGTCTGCGTGCACCCCTTTAGAGAACTGTACACTCTGAGACCAGAAAGTACGAGGAATTATGTTCTCCTAGCAACAAAGCCGATAGGCTTTTCCTTCAGTATGCGCGCAGGCCAGTCAAAAAATTGCCCCACTTAGTGTATGGCCTACAACTACTAAGGCCCTTTCCGTCGTTGGCACGGCACTTCCGTCATTTTCAGAACAGACTGCCCAGAGCATGGTATATTAAATGCCCTCTGCCGGGTCGAAAACGGTTATCTAAACTCTTTTAACATTGAGGAGGTGGAGGAAGAAGAGGTGAGGATGCAGAGGAGCCTCAGAAGGGCGGAGAAAGAGGCAGTCATCCTGCGTTTCTGTCAACTCCCCCCCCCTTCCCTCCCCCTTCTCCCCTTTGCGGAACGTGCGGTTTCCACAGAAATGTCTCAGCTTTCCGGTCCATTACCCTTCCGGCTGACAAAACGGCTATCCGGAAGTCTAAAAGGCGTGGCTCTAAAGCTCTCAGGGTCGCCTAACGAGAGTCTCCTAAGGGAGCAGCTGGGTGATGAGCTTGGCATTTTCATCTTGAATGGTCCATTTTCTAATTTAAATCTGTAAGGATATAAGAGGAACCTTTCAATAGACGGCCCTATTTTAAGAACTTTTATCATATATATGAATCACATCAGCAGCTGGACAGAAAATATTGAATAAAATTGGAGTTAACTCTACAAACCGTGGTCAGACTTGAGTCCATATACTTTTAGTATATGGTATAATATATATTTAGCACATATATTTTCTAAATAATTCATTTACGAAAACGTCAACTAGCTTGCAGAGATTAGAACTTGTGACAGAAGAGCTAAGGTCTGAGTACAGGCAAAACTCTACGCACCAGAACTGTGCTATATCCGCCATGTTCCCAACACCTGTGCCCACTAAGGGCTAGGATTAGTACCAATGGTGCTGAATGCACGGTTCAAGTTTTAGAACGCAAGAATTCCGTGATAAGAATCAGAGGTCAGGTTATTGTACACTAGAGGGAGTTTATGTGTTCGCTGATGTTTTGAAGAGCTGGACAGACTCTTTTTTGTCGAAGCGTGAACTGCCGTTATCGATCAGTAATGTGAAATTGTGGTTTTACGCATCGGCCGTGGACTGATCGGGCTTTCCTCGTTCGTTGCCTGACCTCTGGATTTTGGCATACGTTGCCGGCAGTTAGTGTAGCGCTTTTTTCCCCACGGTAGCGGATGCTGGTAATCCTGATTCCTCTTCCGCCGTATTCGCTTGCAATTCTTAAGTTCGATTTGAATTTGTCCTGTCCTTTACCCACGTAATGGCGTAGGACTTTATAGGCCGCGAGGAGGTCTAAATTCCTTTTGGTGTCCTACTGGGATCCCACGGTTATTCTATCTCTAGACACACATGGCACTGATGAGCATATGCCGTTCCAAATTCAACAGAATTGACTGACTCAGTGTTCTGAGGTAAAGGTACTGCATTTCGTGATCTATTTAGGAGCTGTAAGTTTTGGGCACTCAGTCCCCGCAACTGAATACGACAATATCTACAAGTTCTGAAACCCTATTATTGCAACATCTGTTTCTTTATGCGTTAAAGATACCGGAGTACTTTCGTTTCGTTGTGGAAACCACACTGCGCGAGTTCTTTCTCGCCCTCTCCACCGGAAAGGACGTAGAACAGTCCTGGAAGAAACCAATTTACAAAATAATTGCCCGTATGGATCAGCCCGTGCCAGAGTACTTCAAGAATCCCAGCTGGATGGCACAACTGGCAGATGGCTAGAAAGGACCAATGATTTCAGCCCATCAATTCATTCCAAAAAACTTTTGATTCTATACAACCTTCCAAAAATTCTTTTTCAGCCAATGTGTATCTGTACATAGTATTTTTTGAATCGTTACGACCCTCTTCCTCTCAATGCGTGCCTGTTTGTCAATTAGTCAAATACCAATTACAACAATTCAGCACTCACACAAATTTTATTTTTAATTCAATTTATCTGCGAAATAAAAGTTGACTCCGTCGTCCAACTTGAGGTACAACGGGTACATACTGCCTATAGAGGAGGGGGAAGGGTTTCAGGGCCACTTATAGCCACCAGGTGGTCACAAAACATAGGCTACAATTCAAAACACTGTTTAGAAATTCGGGCGAAGGAAGGAAAATTATATAAGCCCCCTTTATCCACCACGAACCACTAGAATCGCGTAAAACGAGAATATTGGTACTAGGGAGGGTTGGGTTTCAATGCGGGAGGAAGGAAGGAAGGGAATTTAAATAACAATAACTACGATGAAACAACTTTGTGCGTGTCGTTTTATGAATGTTTTGGTTAAAACGCAGTAGATTATTTCCCATAGCCGTGGAATAATAAACCAAAACAGGACAGACAAGATAATGTTAACTCAGGGGGCTTACATAACCTATCCTTACTAAAAAAATCGAAGGAACCCAAAAAAACTATAGCTAAAGGGACACGGAGTACACCAGTAGGAACTTGAAGAAGTAAACGAAAACCACACGACTAGATAGCTTGGGATGCGTTTTCTACACTCGGTGTTGTAGTCTATAAACATGATTTTGAAGGGACTTTCAGGTCCAGAAATCAAAATTAACAAAAACTGTTTTGAATCAATAAAATTTAGGGGAAAAACATTTGGGATTTCGGGAAAAACCGGTCAGTATCCTGTTCAACCAGGTAAACACAAAACAGCATCAATAAAAAACAAAGGATTATTAAGGAGATGCAACGACAAGAACAGACGAACTGAAATGGCTATTTCTGACTGATTTGCTATCGTCAATTCATACCATAACCACAATTTGCTTGTCGTGAGGTGTTAGCTGAAATGAATTAACAATCAGTCAACACTCACACAACGGTGCCATGGGTTCAAGTTGGGTCGTCCGAACTCAGAGAGTTTTCAGTACTACTGAATGATGACACTTGCCGCCTAAAACCGACTGCGCGGATGAGGCGTTGGATCAAAACGGAAGTCAGATCAGGGCACGACGCACCTTAGAAGGACCGTACCTCCATAACTAATGCCAGATATTGGGGAGGGTGGGTTGTGCTGCACGCCTGGGCGCAGTCTCACGCCGCGCCGGCCACACACGTCCCTTCCCCCACATCAGATAGCTGATCGGCTTGGACGGAAACTGGTGTCTGGGAGAGGGAAGGCAACACTGCACCCACTGCACCTCACTATAACCAAGCTGATCCACTTTTAACCTGTCACAGTGCATCAAAAGCAGTGACTTGGAAATTTAACAAATGACTAGACGGAGAATCAGACCGTAATAGTCTCTATATTGATATTGTAACTTATCATACTCACGGCCCAAGTACTAGATAAAGGTCCAGACACGTGTTTCGCCGGTATTCTACCGCTGCTTGATAGAGATGCGAGGGAACAGGCTCATCAGTAGGTGCCCCAGATTTCCCTTTCTGCTTTCTGGTTGATATACCGGTTTTGAAAGTTCAACTTTTTAATTTCCTGAGAAATTAATTTCTGTTCGCGATAAACATCAATATATTTAAAGACTTTCGGCATAGACCGAAATCGTAAGTGCATATTTGCGCTGAAACCCATTAACGACTGCATAATATACACTTGCTGCCAACGGACAGACACTAGTAGTGCATATTGGTGTTGTAGCTTACCATACTAACAGCCCAAGTACTAGCTAGAAGATCCAGGCGTGTGTTTCGCCGGTATTCTGCCGCTGCTTGACACAACTGCGAGGGGTCCGGCGCCTTTTTAGTGTAGTCTCTGGGGTACTCAACGTAGTTTGGGCACCGAGCCATCGCTTTGTTGTTTGTGTGAAAAATTGGTCCATCCGGCTCGAACCCAATCTGTGTGGCATGCGTAGACGAGCTTTTTAGGTTTTTCCAGCCATTGCGCGCGATCTGGTCTTTTGGATTCTGGTCTGATACCGGGTTTAAGTGAGTGAGGAAGGAGAGATGGATGCAGCGCAAGGCCATTGTCGTTATAAACTTATTCACGCGCAGTTCATTGTCCCTACGCCCATGATGGTGTTGCGCAGATAGTGGACCTCATCGTTAACGGCAATCGAACTGTCGGTTGATAGCAAGAAATGGATATCACCTGTGTCTCAATATTTGTTCGATACTACTCCAAGGTAAAACGAAAAGGCCCATTTGCGTTTTAAAACTAGGAGATGTCTCGTGATAGCAAACTACCGCTTCATCCAAATAACTGTCAACGTGAAAGGCAAGTAGCCAAATGCAGAATACTTCATAAAATGTTGTCTTATCCTTAAGATATTCCTCACCCCATGGGAAAGTAGGTTTTGGGTGTACATATATATTCAACGGATATATATTCAACGGTATATATTCAATGGATTACCGCTTTTCCGATGAACATAGAACCCCCGTAGGTATTCAAAAAATGAGCAGCAATGATGCGCAAGGCTACCAACTAAGAAAATGTCTGGTTTTTTAACAGTCGTAAGCTGGCCATACTAAACTCTCGTTTCGAGCGGTGTGGGACGCTCTGCTAAGTTAATGTTGAGGCTGCTATTCTACAGCTAAGTCACGAGCCCGTTGGATGTGAGCCAGACTCTCCTCCCCGTATGACTATGATGTCCCCAAATTGAACAAGTTGTAGTATTGCACCTCTCTCCACAACCCAGCGAGGAGATTCAGTGATATGCAAAAAATATACTGATAACCGAGAGATTCGTTACCAGAAAAACGAATAAATCCATGAATGGCGGATTAAATCTTTTGCAAATCTATGGTATGTATGCGTCAGGACAAACTTACACGCTGCGATCGGGTACCGTATTGACAGAGGATGCAATGTATATTGATTTTAGACGTCCGCCCAAACTGAAAGATTTTTAATAAAAACATGCTAAACAATTCTCTCTGTAAAAAATTACGTATTCTTCACTTTTTATACACCAAAGGAGGACATATATAAGCCAGAAAAAATATCTTCCAATTCCCGAATATTTTGAGCGTAACTATTTGTTGCATTCGTATTTAGGACTTCTAGTCCACAAGCTGCATACTTTGCATGTAAAGAAAATAATGCAATCTTCTACAGCATTAATAAGGTACCGCATAGTGCTGACAAAATTTTGTAAACGATGTGGGTTACGCTGGTTACTTAGTTGGCAGCACCAATAAAAGGAGAAATTAGATGCTATTTGAATAGAAATCGTGAGGTCTTAAAAAGTCTTATAGTTACTGACTTTTAGAAAACCGATGAATAGCCTTTTTCCGAGTACAAACTTTGAAGAAGCCATGTCTGGATACCAGATGAGTTCCAAAAACATATTTTGTGTGTATTACTTTTTATTTGCTATAAAATATAGTTGAATTGCTAAGGGTGTATAAAATCAATATAAAAAAAATGAATATCGCTTAATAAAGTCACTTTTTTATCTAATGTAATGCTTATAGATGACTGGAAAGAAGGGCATTCAAAAGCCGGCATCCTGGTATGTCCTACGAGGTTATGCGGCGCGATAATCGACATAGGAATAACCAAAATTCGTAGGTGTATCGCAGGGAGTTAGGTAAGTTAAACGCTAGCAATTGCGATCTTCAGCCTATGTTTACTTAGTCGAGGAGAAGTCAGTGGAGGCCAGAATAGTAGGAATAGTTTATTTCGTACACAAAGGAACGAAGAATAGATGGGTTGAAGTTGGATTTCGGAGCACACGTCATTCCGCTGGAGCGACGTGGTCCTAAGTGAATTGTGCAGAGTCTACCTCAACCAATAGAGGCGAAGAGGCGAGTTCCAGGAAGCAGTCTAGAAGTAGATGATGCGATTGCTGGAATTCCAGTGACAGCGTAATTACTGAGCTCGCATCCGACATGGATGACGAAATCGCAGCCATTAATGCCTCGGGAGAGAACTGCCAAGGCATCACCACACCAATTACGACACCCAGCGGTGGTTACGGGAACTGATAATTATAGTGAGCATGCGGTCGCGTGGCCATTACAAAATATAAATGCTGCGTAAGCTGTGCATATATAGTACGGCTCCAAATTCGTGCAAAATGCCGACATTTGCAAAAGATTGATACTCAGGCTCCAATCGGCATCGAGTAAGGTTGTAATACTGATTATCTTGTAGCCTATTCTCGATAGGAGGCCGAATTTTTAATGGGCTTCTTTCTGACCGCTAGCAAAGTGTGTGCACTGTGAAAAATGGCTATTTAAGAAGCACGCATTTTTATGATTGATTTTGACTGCCTTTATAAATTCACATATATTTTATGGAAAACCTGCACGAAAAATATATTTATCGTACTCGTTTGGTAGGAAATTACGCCTTCTTTAAATTTTATATTTAAGGAGGGGGTATATTTCGGTTTTAAAAAGAGTTTCTAAATTGACGAATAATTTTTAAACCCAATGATTGCTGCATCTGAATTACAGATTTACAAACTGCGCGTTGTGTACATCATGTTTAAGGAGAAGTACGTTTTTGCCTACGGTTTGAGGATGAAGACACATTGTTCTCATAAATGTTGCAATAGGTGTGGATACTGCCATATACGTTATAGACAGCATTAATAAATTGACGGATACGATGCATTATGAATGAACACCTCAAACTCGTAAAAATTGCATAATGGGAAATTTTTATAAAACCGAATGATAGCCTTTCTTTAAGTATACATTTTTAAAGAAGGTGTAATTAGGTATTAACCGAGTAAGGGAAAGAATTTTTTCGTGCATGCTTTCCATGAAATATAGTTGAATTTAGAAATGCAGTCAAAATCAATGACAAAAA